CTACGCAGTCCTCCAGCCACACCGCCCCAAGCCTGTAGCGTCGCCTGGGGTTGTTGTAGCCGAAGTGCAGGACCTGGCATTTGGCCTTGTTGAACCTCATCCCATTGGCTTCAGCCCAGCTCTCCAGCCTGTCCAGATCCCTCTGTAGGGCCTCGCTACCCCCAGGCAGATCCACACTTCCAGCCAATTTGGTGTCATCTGCAAATTTACTGAGGGTGAAATTGAAATATTGAAATTGAAATATTGAAATATTAAGGATAAAGATCTACTGCTTTCAACAGCATAGGACAAATACTTTATCCAATTATTTTTCCATCCCTTCAAAATGCAAAGAACACCCCCTTCCTTTGTAGTTGCAGCACATTTAATGCGGGAAACAAACACTTCCTTTCATCGCGTAAGAAACCTCATGCTGCTACACTTCATTGCTTAGAAATTAGAGGTTTCTATCCTGGTTCTCACCTCTTGATAAAACTTTACACACAAAAAGTAGCACCAGAAAGAAGAGAACTATAGTATTTTTCTTATAGCTGTCACTGATCACCCTCAGTGATGTGTGATTAGATGTGAATTTTCATTTAAGTTGAAATTTCTTGTGAAATGCACAGAAAGAAATCCAAGTAACTTTATTTTAATCACACATTTTACTTTTGTCTAATTTGCTTCATTTCCTAGCATTTATTTTACTATATCTCTAAAACACAAAAAAGGCACAAGTTTGATTAGGTTTCCTCACAATTACGCGTAGCCAGATAAAATGCTGTAATGGTGAACCAAATGAGGTTGCCTCTTTCCTACCTGAACATCTGAAGAAACAGAAATGCCCTGAACTGAGTCTTTCAGCAAAACTGGACTTGTGCTTTTCTCCTCATCTGATGACATCCTGCACAAAGTCAGTCAGTAGAACAGTAGAAACTCAGCTTCACTTTCTATTTCCAGGACGTTCACTAATCTCTTTCACAGAAACACAGATACTGCTGTAGTGTTTACCTCAAGTAGGTGGGGGGAGAGCCCATGCAATGGGATAACCTGAAAGTGTCCTTGTTACATATACTGCTATAAGCATTGACTGAAAGGCATTTAATTGCTTTATCCAACCCATACTCAAAAACATGAAAAGACTTCAACTGACTTTGAGACTCAAACAAAACACGAATGACTGAGAAGCAACAATATCAGCAATTTTGCCATTCTACACTGGTTGAGTAAATGTTATGCCTAATATTCCATGTTACACAAAATATTTTACATTAAATATACGGTGCAACTACAATACAGTGATAGAGGAAAAAAATTATATATGGAGAGACTATAGAAACCTTAATTTATGAGCACAGTTCTATGTCAAAGCCTCCTTCTTAGTTGCAGTGTTTGGAGTTATATATCTTACTTCAGTACAAAATTCCTACAGAGGCATATAGGAATGCCTAAATTCTGCTCTGATTTTTTTTTCCCCTGGAAATACCACAATCCAGGCTAAGATGATGCCCTGAATGCTTACCATGCAGCATAAAAAATTTGTTAATGAATGAATGGCAGAGTGATATAGCTGCCTGATGAACATCGAAAGTAACCACGAGACACTTTTGAACAGAGAGCTGTTAGCTGAGAATAAGCCTGGGAAGAAGACCACTATAAATAACCAGATGAACAAAGTATTGGTATAGTGTAGCTAACAAGCATGCAAGTTAAAATAATTTTTAGACAGGCCTTTAAAACGGTCAATCATAATATTCTTAGCTGTTTTTTAAACAGATGAATTTTCTGACAGAAACATTATTTTTAAATTGCCAATTGTACTGATATTAAGTTGGCAGGAAATGTCCTCCTTAATGACCATCTTATTTCAAAATACTAAAAAAAAAAAAAAAAAAAAAAAGCAATAAACTCAGAGCGCTCTATATGGGAATAGAGATGGAAGTTAATTCATTCAGTTTTATGAGTTATTCCAGATACCGATTTGTCATGAACCATAGAAGACCTCTCTGCCATTTATGGCTTTCAGTATGCAGAATGGGAAGTTAGTGTCTGTGCTGATATTTTAAAAATGGCATAAACACAATTCTAAATGCTGAGATTTCCTACTGCCTAAGGTTCAAAAAACCTTTATTATCTCACTGCTTACTGCCTTCTTATGTTCTTTCAAAGGCCCCAAATTCTTCTTCAGTAAATCAAACCATGTGCTTTATAACTCACAGTTTCTCAGTTAGTGGGTCTCAAGCAGTCCAGAAGTCCTAGAGATATTCAGATGTGCTCACATGCGTGTTGGTGAGACAAAGGATCAGTTAATTACCAGGTATTCATAGAAACAGGAAGAGTGTAACAAATTACAAACACTGCTCTCTTCATCAGCCCATTTAACAAAACTACCTACCACCAATTCTTATAATTAAACACGAAGCCACTTGAGTTTCACATGACTCTGAAGCGTCTAATGAAGTGGAAGGAAAAGTTTGTTCATTAATTTAAGGCCACTGCCCTGACTTTCAGCCTTCTGAAACTCTTAACGCTCAGTTTAGCATATATAGCTCTTTGTGTATCATTGAAACTATGTTTGAGTTTGTGGTTCTTCAACTCAGCTGCTTTCTTTCACACAAACAATGTTATCTCTCCATTTCATGCCACTTTCCAAGCTTAAAACTGCAGCTCAGCTATCTGAAGTCACTTTATAGGAGTCACAATCTGCTCAAGCTCAGTGTGTCTGCCTTCTCTGTCTATCCCTTTTCTTTATTCCTCTGGACTAGACCTCTACCATGTGCACCAGAATTCTAACCCGACTGTCTTTACTAACTTGAAAATCACTTCACATTACAAATAGCACACTTCTTAAATTTTCAGCTTTCCTCACAACACTTCTATTTTCCCCATCAACATCTCTGGTGTTCTTGCCTGCAGTCCAACCTGACATTCTGACTATTGCAAAGTCCAGCACAAATACCAGTAAACCCAGAATTCTAGAAAACTGCTCATATACAGAACAGCCAAAACTACTGTAAGATACATACAATTCTTTTAAGCTGATGTTTGCACATGCCATTGTCACCTCATGCTAAAAATAAGTTATCTGCCTTGATCTGATTAAGAGAACACACGGCAAGTTTCTAAGAGAGATATTTACCATGGCATACGAAGACATCAGTAAACTGATTTGCTGAGGTGCAAATCACGAAATGCAAGGAGGCTACCGAGAACTTCATGGTTATCTCGTGCCTCTCATCTTCCCCAGGCGTCTGCCAGGACACTTCTGACCACACCAAAGCAAGGCTCCTGCTAACAGCACTAAGTTAACATGAAACCGTTAAGTGTATGACCGCAGTGCTAAGGACAGCTACTTACAGAAACAGCCCTCAGCTTTACAGATCTCTCATTTGTCTCATCGCGGCCGTTCACGCCACTAATTCCGAACTATTTGAGCCCCATGAGACTTCTGCCTTGGCAGCCTGCTCGTTACCTAGGGTGCTGCTTTCCGACGAGCCTCTCACCCAGGGAAGAGGTGTACTTCCGGAGGCCCTTTAACTTACACATATGAAGCGGTACCACTCAAACCCGGCGCCTGCAGTGCCGATTGCCCGCTGCGGCCGCCTCAGCTGCAAAGTAAGGCCAAGCCGCGGGGCGTCACGCAGCAACACGGTGGCACGGCCGGGCAGGAACACGGCCGAACAAGTCAGGAAAAGGAATCAAAACTTCGTACGTGAACGCATCCCCTTTTTTGTCCTGCTACAGACTGGGCCTCTAAGGCCGCCGGGCCGCCTCCCGCCTGCCCTCTCACCTGCGGACAACGGTCGGAGCGTCCGCCGGGCGCAAGGGTTTCAAACTACCGAGGCGGAAGAAGAAACGCCTCTCTGATAGGTTCAGCCGGCTTCTGCAAGACACTCTCTGATTGGACATCTTGGCGGAAAAATAGCCAATTAGAGAGCTCGGCCTGAGAAGATTGGGAGTGAAAAGCCGTCCCGCCCCTCAGCTGCGACGCGTCACCCTTTGCCGGTTCCTGCCTGTCAGCGGTGCCGCCTGCTGATTGGCCAGCTCCGTTCCCGGGGCTGGGGCGCGGGCCGTGGGTGGCCGTTGGTGGGGGGCGGTGCTGAGGGACGGGCGCCGTGAAGGGGGCAGCTGTGCGGTGCGGGACTCCGGGGGTCCTTGGTGTTGCAAGCTCTGTGGTCTTGCTTGGTGCCTGCTGGTGAGCGCCGTAGGTGGCTCGTGTGGGCCTGTTAGTGCTGGGATGTGTAGGGAGCAATGCCAGCCCAATAGCTTGTCTAGCCGTGGTGAAGGGAGCTCAGATAGGTACCCCGCGTTGGGGAATTGCTGCTAAAAGAATCATGGAATGGCTTGGGTTGAAAGGGACCATAACGGTCATTTATTTCCAATCCCTTGCCATGGGCAGCATTGCCACCACCAGATCAGGCTGCCCAGGGCCCCATCCAGCTTTGTTGGAAATATCCAAATAATTTTCCAGGATAGTATCTCCGATAAAGCAGATTTTATTTGCAGTTGCAATGGCGGGCCAGCAGGAGCGCACACAGAAAACACCGGTCATAACTTTTGGATGCCTGCTTTACAACATGAAAGTAAGCATAAGCTCTTGTTTAATTACCCCCTAGCATTTGTGCCCTTAACTCTGGATCGTTGTTCTGGTCATCTGTCTGTCCTTGCATAGACATAAGCTTGGAAGGAGGATAGAGTGGAGTATCTTGGAGCCTGCATATGGCATTCTAACATTCCCACAGAATGGGACAGTTCTGCTTTGCGTAAAGGCCCTGGCTCCTTGAAAGCTTGTTAAATGTATTTCACTTTTGCTGGCCTAATGAACAACCTTACAACATGTTTCCCAGCTCAGAATACTATACCCACATTGTTTAGAACATTTAAAGTCTATTGCAGCCTTTGTGAGAAAGAATTTGTCACATTATTTGGTAACTATATTTCTAAAATATATTGCTAATATGTATATGGTATTTCTACTTTTCACATCAGCTATTTCTAAGGATGTGCTGCAGCTACTTTAGGTCGCCCTTTTCAATATTCAATGCAGAAACAACATTTTATCCCATTCCCACAGCCTGGTCTTAAGTGCCCCCAGAGACAGGACGTCCACAATCTCACTAGGCAACCTATGACAGTGCCTCACTGCTCCCAGTCAAAAATTTCTTCCTCACATCTAACCCAAAGCTCCCCTCTTTCAGTTAAAATCATTCCCTCTCGTGTTCCCACTATCGGAACATGTAAAAAGATAGTCCCTCTCCTGCTTATATGTACTGGAAGTTCTCCCTAGAGTCTTCCCCAGGCTGAACAGCCCCAGCTCTCTCAGCCTGTTCTTGTAGGGGTGATTTTCCATTTTTGAGGCCCTCCTCTGGACCCTCTCCAACAGCTCTGCATCCCTGCTGTGCTGGGGGCCTCAGACCTGGACGCAGTACTCCAGAAGGGCCTCACGAGGGCAGAGCAGAGGGGGACAATCACCTTCTTTCTGGCCTCTCCTCCTCTACCTTCTGGGCTGTTAAGCACGCTGGTGGCTCCTGTTAAGCTCAAGTGTCGAATATGTTTAGGCCGTGGTAGAAAGGTGTCTGATTGTTAGTGTCAGCAAGCCACGTGCTGGGTAACATTGAACAACAGCCGTTGCGTAGATCCCTGGGGAGAATTTTGTTGCAGTTACCTCTGGGCAGTAGTAAGTAGAAATTCAACACCAAATTTTACAGGCTTTTCTGTCTGGCTCCAGGAATCAGAGAGCCCTTCTGTCTGTTTGCCTCCATTTATCCTGACACCATCTTAATTGCTCCTTTTGTAATGTGTGCTGTGACACAGAAAATCCTTTCACAATAATCTACAGCATACATCTGTACCATCTGGTACTCCAGGGACACAAACCTCCTGGTCAAGTTCTGTAATATGTGAGTGTACTTTATATTACACCAAAATTTTGCCTGGTAACATGAGAAGGACAGCACAGACATAGCAAACAATACACAACTGCAATTTATAATTTCCCCTAATTTTTTTTAGTAAGCAACGTGCATATGTTCCAGAATCTTTTGCACCTATGAAAGAGTTAACTCAGGAAATTATCAGAAATACCACCTCTCTTGGAGGCTTTAAGTTCTTCCACAGAAAGCCTTTTATGTAATAAAAGGACTCCTTTAACCTCATTTTCCAAAACCTCTTGGCTACTGCAGCATCCTCTTAATTGACAATTTCACCTGAAGCGAAGCTTCACGGAGTTGAAGTGGGTAATGTGAGGTACTTGTGCTTTTACAGACCACTCTTAGGCTTAAGCTGTGCAGAACCTGACCAAAAGCAAGATTTCAATTCCTTTTTCTACTTCCCGTACTGAAGTGGATGACAGTGTCTAATTTAACCAATGAGTGGAAGGTTTTCCAGAACCTTCTTTCAGCACATTAGAAAATACTAAAGCTTTTTCTTTCAAAGAAACTGAAAGGAATTGTGTTAAGCAGTTACACCAATCTTTTCCTCACTGTGTAAGACATACTAGTGCTAAAATATGTACTTTCTAGATCATCTTTTAAAAACATAACAAAGCCAGTCTAGTATCTAGATAGATGAATAGTTTTAAAATGCACTGATCATGATTTACTACAACTAGTAGGTGGGTAGAAATATTATTTAACAGATTTTTTTCAGAGATTTCCTGATGAGTCTTTAATCATGATATCTATTGTGTATATTTTTCACTTTTTTTTATATCTTGTCTATTTTTATATATATTACAGTGTTCCCTGTTGTATTTGTGATGTGTTCATGTATTTCTTTGATGCAGAAACCGCAAGCTTAGCACTAATCACAACCAAGCGTCAGATACCTGTAAATATAAAACATTTACTTACCTCAGCCATTCCTCTCAGACAACAAACAAAATCAGAATTAACAGAAAGCAGTGCCTTTTATGAGTCTTTGTACTAGTAATCTACACATCGGACATCTGTTAGCAGGTATTCAGTCTTTCTTTTCTAAGGATTTAATGAGAGGTACTTATTTCACTAGTATTAAATGCATTAGCAGTAGGCACTTGCCAATATGAAACTTTCCTTTAGCCTAAAAATTCAAGTAGCAAGGCAAACTTCCCGTTTATTTTTTTCCTAAATTTCTAAATTTATAGGTAGGAGTGACCACGGTATGAATGAATTTGCTCCATATGGGCTTTATTGAACTCAGTGGGGCCTATGGAAAGAAGACAGAGTGTGTTATCTATAGAAATGATACCAGTATCTGTTTAAGTGCAGTTTGTAGAAATATTTGAAATTAGGAATTGGAAGAAGCATCATCAGGCGGCTATTTGTAACTATAACATCTGGTAAGATCCACATGGCTGTGATAAGCAAAAAACTCAGTCTGAGTGACTCTTCATTATTGTGCAGTCAATGTATTTTTTTAAGGCTCATGAAGTTGCTTGTTTTGGTTAGTTTCCAGAAAAGTAGAGTGAAAGACTCTGTTTACTGGTGGACTATTGTAAGCATGTGTGATATATCATGGTTTCAGAGAAACATCTCTGTCTGTCTGTCAGTCTGTTTATTTATTTATTTGTTTATTTTCCTCGCACTATTACTTTGTTTGAATGCTAATTTGAAGGCAACACTCAGCTGTAGTCATATCTAGGTGAGCAATGCTTGCACCAAAGCAAAGTGTAATCAATTTTCCCTTGCCACATCTGGCTTTAATGCAAAGTTCTAGATGACATAGGATTTTCTAATAATCCAAAATGTTCATCCTCTTAATTTATTGTTTGTTTGATAATTGAAATGAAGTCAAATGTAGAACTGTTGCATTGTTTTGAAATCACTGTTATTGGTTAATGTTTCAGCAAGGCTTGTATTTGTCCAGTATGCAAGTAAAATGGAGCACAAGTTCACATTGTTTCTTACCCAGCAGTGCAATATACAAAGCAGAGATACATGCTTTTTCTGATTCTAATCTGTATTGAACACTGCTGCTGTAAAAAGTACGAAGTGCATTCCTGCATAAAAGTGTTCTTGAAATAAAATGTAAGGCATAGCCTTTAAATATGTGCTTAGTCTTTAGTCCTGTGCCTTTGGGAAAATGCAGACATTTGAAAATTGAAGAAGATTGCGATGAGTACTCAAACCAATCTTTGTGATGCAAACATCTACTGCTACTTTGTAATTAGATGGATAAAAAGCAAAGGAGATCAAATGGTATAAAGCTGATTACTGGTATAAAGAGATAATTGTAAATAGTTAGAGAGAGTGCAATGAAATGACAGTAATTACCCTACTCCCACACTTTGGGTTTTATAAAGTATCTGATAAAACCTTATGTTGAAACTTTCTGCTTCTTAATTGTGTATCTGAAATACTACTCATCTTTAATGTTGGATTCTATAACAAAAGACAAAGGACAATTATTTTCACGGAAGGAGGGAGAATTTTCCATGCTTCTGTGACCACTTATGTTCATATGCTGTTCTAGCCAAGCAAAAGCCGTAGCAGCATTTGGAGCCAGGAAGAGTACAGTCGTGTGCAGACTGAGAACTTGTGTTGAGTTGGCTGTCTGTGAGGAAAAGGAGGAGAAGAGAGTCAGGGAAAAGGAGGTCAAATAAATTTAGTAGCACCAGTGCATTCATGAATACACATCCCTTTGTTCTTTGAAGTAGTTTTTGAAGGAGTCAAAGTGCGAAGTAAGCACACTTTACATGTTATATTCATGAATATTCAGTGTTGTCCATAATTTTATATCTGTTGAAATTTCTCAGTTGTTTGTTTTTGTTGTATGTTTTTCTTCACATATCTACTGTAATTACTGTGATGGAAAAACAGATACTTTGTTATAAGTCAAGTGTAGATACTGGACTTTCACTCTTCTAGGCTAAATAGTTATCTGGTTACTATGTGAACACAAGATTTGTTTTGTCTCATGTACACTGTTAGACATAGCCCTGGGTCTCCAGGTGGACTTGTGTCTTCTATAGATCAGTATTGTCACCTCTCTTCTGTGCCACGAGTCCACATGTCTCAGACAGAAGCATCAAGTGTCTGGAGATGAAAAGCCAGATAGATGGCAATGAACTGCATCTTTTTGGGCCTTACATTCAAAGGTCAGTCATATGTTGGCTCCTGCTTTGGGGAAAGAGGCCTTCATAAATGCATGGACCAAGGCCGTTCCTTTCCCCTCATGGGAACTGAAACATTATGAATAGCTGATCGGCAGACCATCATTTCAGTATTCAAGTAGTTTTTTTGTTGTTGCAATTAAAATAAAGAAACGCTTTTCAAAATATCTCAAAACATTACTAAATCAAAATTCTAATTTTAGTTAAGAAACAATCGCTGAAGATGATGGGTATGGGAAATGTTTATGTTTGTGCCATAATTTGTTAAGCAGCTGTCAACAACTGATATCATTTTCTGGTGATGATAATAATCACAGAACAGCCCAGGTTGGAAGAGACGTTGAAATATCATCACTTACAAATTTTCATTGAAAAAGAGAGACTAGATGAGGTAATCTAACATCCTGCCTAGTTGCATCTTGAAATACTGAAGTGATGTGAAATCTGCCATGCCTTTGTTGAGGTTGTACCACTCTTTAAGTACTGGAATACTGCAATGAGCTTAGAACCTTCTCTAGCATGAAAATACCTAACTCCTTTAGCTTTTCCTCTTAGGGCAGGTTCTCCAGCCTTGGATCATCTTCATGGTCATACTTTGAACTCTAGCATGTCTTTTTTGATCTGTGGAGACCAGGTACTTAATGTGTGTCCTGATAATTGCTGAGAAGAGTGGGATAATCACATTTCTTTCTTTGCTAGTAATGACCCTGCAGTTGCAGCCCAGCGTTCGATTTGCCTTTGTGGCTACAGTGATGCACTGCTGACTCCTGTTCATCGTGTTTGCCAGGACTGCTAGGTACTTTTCAGCAAAGCTGCTCCCCAGCAACACAAATCCTAGACTGTGCAGGGCTCTTTGGTTACCCCTTCCCAGGTGCAGAACAGTGCATTCATCCTTGTTAAATTTCACACTTATCTTACTTGCTCCCTCTTACAGCCTGTCTAGGTCTCCCAGGAAGATGACTCATCTTTCTTCTGATGTGTCCACTTCACCATCCACCACCTGGATTAGTGTCATTTCCAGTCTTGTTGACTGCTTGCAGTCCCATCATCTGCATAATTCATGATGATATTAAACCATTGGGGTTTAAAATGAGTCCCTGGGCAACCCCACTAGTGACAGGTTTTCAATCTAAGTTAAAAAATGTTGATCACCACCCTCAAAGTGTGGTCTGTTTTCTTATTAATTAGACATCAACCATCCATTCTATTTCTTGCTAGTTTTAACAATCATATCCTCATAATTTCTGAATTCCTCGGAGTTAAAAAGATTCTACCAACTCTCCCTCCATCCACCAACCTCTTGTAGAAATTCTGCTCTGGATATTTCATTTGTGATATAATGGTCAGTGCATATTTAAAGTATGTATGCTTCTCAGAGAAGACTTGTAAGTTGAGAGGTTGAAAATAGTCTGGAATTTAATACTGTATGAAAATGTATTTGCCTTTGTTTTTGTTTTTGGTTTTTTGTTTGTTTGTTTTGTTTTGTTTTTTTTTCCCCACAGAAGTATCAGCTTATAGCTTTACAGGCACTTACAGGATAGCATTTGTTGAAGGGCCTGTAGATATTGTAGGCCTGGTGAATGTGTTCATTTATACTTAAGAGTTTCTCCTGGGGAATCTGAATTATTTTTCACTGGAGTAAGCTTTTCCACATCAGCCAGTCAGTCATCCACATCAGTGACAGAACCTATCATGACTACAGTTATGAATGGATTTTGCATGAATTGCAAGAAAGATTTTCTGCTGTAATGATTAACTGGCATGTTAGATACTACTTTTCAGTCACATGGAAACAGAGCCACTATTAAAACGCTGAGCATATATATCAGTATATCCCTCTGTTTTCAAGCCTCTAATTTCTCTAAATGGTGCTACACAGGAAACCAAACCTATAGGCTTTGTCTAAGTGTAAGGAAATGCTTTCTGCAAGACTGATCTTTCTTTTAGCAGACTCCCTCGTCCCCCCACCGCAGGCTAGAGAAATATTAGCAACTTCTGCTGTGTTTTGTGTTTGGTGAAGTAATAGAACACCAGCTGATTAAAAGGAGGATGCTTCAATCTTTTTTTTTTTTTTTTTTTTTACTGTTCTGAATATTTAAAAATTGGAATGGACAAAACTTGACTTTCCTTACTTATATTCAAAATTCTGTGTCTGTATTTGACTTCAGCAGTCAGCTCTTGTTCTGGGGCACAACAGTTACTGAAATACTCCAGAGACATAATAAAATATTTAAGATCAGTGCATTCTGTTTGTATTTTTAGTGATTAAGTGAATTGTTTCATTGCAAGCTTCTGAACTGACAAAAACCATAAGTCTGATAATGTTTTAGAATGCAGTGAAAATTCTGGATAACCAGAACAGCACAGTGAGCCATGGAAATGACTCCACAATGGGTGCAAAAATGATCTTTTAATAATTTTGTCAGAAAGAACTTTAAATATTTCTGTGGTTGCAGTATTTTTCTTCTTGTAAGCTGTAGAGAGCAAGTGATCAGTAAAATTATTTCTCATTGGAAATCAAAAGATCAGAAGGAATCTAGATTATAGATTATAGATTAATCTAGAATTTAGGAATCTAAAGATGTTCCAGTGGCAGGGTGCACATGTACAACTTATTTACAGTGACATATGCTGCTTCAGCAGTGAAACACAACTGTGCTATAGAGTATTGAAAGACCATAATAAAATGCAACATATCAGCATCTTTCAAGACTACCATTAAGGCTGTCCATAAGTCTGCTACTGAAAATCACATTTGAAGAAAGAAGATTGTTTTTTTCTTTGTAAGTGTTCCTCACAGAAGCATAGAAGGTTTTAAAGGAGCGTTAAAATGTATTTCATACAGAAGTCTGCAGAAAACAGTTGGCAGCAATTAAAGTGTTTTCTATGAAAATAAGTAAAAGGCTTTCAAGGCTTAATTATATTAATGATCTGTTCCTAAGGAAAACAAGATGTTTATGTGTAAAGATTGTTGTGCTAATTGCAGACTTTAAAAAAAATCTAAGCACTGTACTTCCTTTACCACTTCTTTTGCATGAAGGACTGCTAGGTAGGTTCTTTGAATGATGTTCTCATTATGAAGTACAGATTTGTTTGCCAAAGTACTTGAAGAAAAGCTTAAAATGGTCAATGTGAAGCGGGCTTTTGTCGTTCCTCTAGGAGCAGCCCATTGTGTAACAGTCATCATGTTTCAGCATCTCTCTTCTGCAGCACCTTATGGCAGGATCAATACTTTAGTTGCTGACAGCTGTATACGTATATTAGCTTTACAGCCGGCATGCCTCCAGACCCCATAGCTGTGTGACAGCCTGTACCTATCGCACCATCTCCCCTTTCTCTGGCAAGTTCTGTAGTCACTGTGCTTGCCTGCTGCACATCTTTGTAGGCAAAAGGGTAATTTCTTCCCTTGGAGCTGTATTCTGAAGCCATGAGTCAGCAAACAGGGAAGCTGACGACATTGCCGGGATGTACCACGCAGAGATGAGCTTCTGCAGTGACGCAGCCTTTGTTCATCAGAAGTCAGCAAGGATTTTTACATCATCTCTACGCCAGGTGGCAACACATCGTGCTGCTCTGATAGAGAGCTGGACTAAAAGTAACGCTTCTAATACACAGCAGGCTGTAAAATTCAGCCAGTGCAGAAAGATCAGATTTAGATGCTGAATCATTACCTGTTCATATCCTCTCCGCTCCCCAGGCTTCTTCATTTAGTCTGAGAAGAGCTTTGCCATTTTAAAGGGCTACGGGAACTATGCTATCAGTTCGAGAAGATTTTCTTCAAGAGATATCACAACATTCAGCTGTAGGATAGTTTTCTGGATAAGTTCAGGGATTGAGTATGCTGAAACTTGAGCTTGTGTATCCTGGTATTTATATCATAAAAATGCTGAAAAGATGGATGGAATGCCATTAATTGAAACTAAGAAAGTAATTTAATTAGATGTTGTAATAGTAAACATCAATGATACCTTTTTAAGTTTTAAAGAGAATCACTGGCATTTAATTTCAGATCCCAAATATTGTACATTACTGTAGCTTTTTCTTTCAAAATTTCTGGCATCATGTTTGTGTATCAGAGCACCAGCAATCAAAGAGGTTCCTGGAATGTGTTGATAACTTCCTCTTCGAAGTGGTACAGGAACCCATGAGAAAAGTGCTCACCAGTGAGGAGGGGCTGATGAGTAGCATGAAACTCAATGGCAGCATGACCATGAAATGATGGAGTTCAAGATCCTTAGAGCATCAAAGAGAGTGCGTAACAGAAATGCTACTCTGGGCTTCTGGAGATTATGATTTTGACCTCTTCAGGGAACTGCTTGTCAGGGTGACATGGGATAAAGCACTGGAGGGAAGAGGGGCCCAAGGAAGCTGGTCAGTACTTAAGGACCATCTCCTCCAAGTCCACAGAATCACAGAATCACAGAATAGCTGTGGAAGGGACCTCAAGGATCTCCAACCTTCCTGCCACATGCAGGGCAACCAACCTCCATAATCAATACTGGACCAGGCTGCCCAGGGCCCCATCCAATCTAACCTTGAACGCTTCCAGGGATGGTGCATCCCAGCTCAGATGCTGTTCATTGCAAGAGAGAGAAAGGCAGACAAGAATGCCAGGATGCTTCTGTGGATCAGCTTCTGGATTTATGTAAGAGCAAAAAGAAAGTCTATGGGGAGTGGAAGCGGGAACAGGTTACCTGAGAGGACTACAAAGAAGTTGTCCAAGCAGCCAGGGATCAGGTTAGGAAAGCTGAAACACATCCAGATTAAACACAGCCAGGCACTTAGAGGGGAACAAAGAGAAATTGTGCAGGTGTATCACTGATTAAAGGAAGTCCAGAGGAGGTTGGGCCCTCTCTGGAAGGAAACTGGAGTTCTGGTCATGAGGGATATGGATAAAGCTGAGGTGGTGATTGACTTCTTTGCTTTAGTCTTCACTGGCCTGTGCTCTAGCCACACTGCCCAAGTTGCAGAAAGCACAGATAAGAATGGGGAGAAGGAAAATCTGCCCAATGTAAGCAAAGATCAGGCTCATGACAATCCAGGTGCACAAGTCCATGGGACCCAAAGAGATCCAATCAAGGATTTTGAGGTACCTAGCAAATGGAGATGCCTACCTGCTATTCATCATATTTGAAAGGTCATGGCAATCTGGTGAAGTTCCCACTGACTAGAAAAGGGGAAACATAACCCCCATTTTCAAGAAGGGAAAAAAAGAAGATCCAGGAAACTACAAGCCAGTCAGTCTTGCCTCTGTGCCCTGTAAGATCATGGAGCAGATCAGCAGATCCTCCTGAAGGCCTTACTAAGGCACATGGAAAATAAAGATGGGGTGATTGGTGGTAGTCAACATGGCTTCATCAAGGCCAAGTCATATCTGACAAACTTGGTGGCCTTTTATGATGGAGTTACAGTGTCAATGGATAAAGGAACGGAAGCTGATTTATCTACTTGGACTTGTGCAGAGTGTTTCACACTGTCCTGCCTGACATCCTGGTTACCAAATTGGAGAAAAATGAATATGATGGCTAAGGATTTGGCTGGATGATCACGCTCAGAGACCTGGGGTCCACTGCTCAGCATAATTGCGAGGCTGATATCAGCTGTCTGTAGAAGGCCTTGTCAGCTTCCTAGTTCTGATCCAGCAGCCTGTAATAGACACCCACAACAGTGCCACCCATGCCAGTCTGCCCCTTAATTCCCACCCACAGTCTCTGAACCCGCTCCTCATCCAGCCCTGGACAGTACTCCATGCATTCCAGTTGCTCTCTCACATAATGAGCAACTCCACCACCTCGCCTTGCTGGCCTGTCTTTCCTGGGAAGGACACAGCCATCCACGACCACATTCCAGCCATGTGATCTGTCCCACCAGGTCTCTGTAATTGCCACCAGATCTCAGGGTGGAGGCCAGTCATAAGCAGTGTCCCCCAGAGGTCGGTCTTGGGTCCGGTCCTCCGCAACATCTTCATCAATGACACAGACAAAGGTGCCGAGTGCACCTTCAGCAAGTTTGCAGGTGACACCAAGCTGAGCAGTGCAGGCAATACATTGGGAGGAAGGGAAGCCATCGAGAGGGACCTGGACAGGCTGGAGAAGTGGGCCCATGAAAACCTAATGAGGTTCAGTAAGGCCAAGTGCAGGGAGTTGCACTTGGGTAGGAGCAATCCCAGGTATTTATACAAACTGAGGGCACATCTCCTTGAGAGCAGCCCTGCGGAGAAGGACTTGGGGATCCGGTAGATGGGAAGCTGGACATGAGCCAGCAGTGTGCGCCCGCATCTCAGGAGGCCAACTGTGTTCTGAGCTGCATTAAAAAGGGGTGGCCAGCAGGGAGAGGGAGGTGATTGTCCCCCTCTACTCGGCTCTTGTGAGGCTCCATCTGGAGTACTGCGTCCAGGCCTGGGGCCTCCAGTACAGGAAGGACATGGAGCTCTGGGAATGGTCCAGAGCAGGGCAGCTAAGATGATCAGAGGGCTGGAGCACCTGTCCTATGAGGAAAGGTTGAGGGACCTGGGCTTGTTTAGTGTGGAGAAGAGAAGGCTCCAGGGAGACCTCATTGCAATCTTCCAGAACTGCAAGGGAGCATATAAACAGAAGGTGGAACAGCTGTTTACAAGGATGGATAGTGCTAGGACAAGGGGGAATGGTATTAAGCTGAGACAGGGGAGGTTTAGGTTAGATATTGGGAGGAAGTTTTTCACACAGAGGGTGGTGATGCACAGTTTGCCCAAGGAGTTTGTGGATGCCCCATCCCTGGAGGCATTCAAGGCCAGGCTGGATGTGGCTCTGGGCAGCCTGGTCTTGTGTTTGGCGACCCTGCACGTAGCAGGGGGGTTGAAACTCGATGATCATTGTGGTCCTTTTCAACCCAGGCCATTCTATGATTTTATGATTCTATGATACAAATGGAGATCATTGACATGTGGCATTCCTCAGGCATCGGTACTGGGATCAGTGCTACTTAACATCTTTGTCAGCAGTATGGACACTAGGATTGAGCGCAATCTCAGCAAGTTTGCAGATGACTCCACGCTGAGTGGTACAGTTGACATGGTAGAGGGAAGGGCTGCCATCCAGAGGGATCTGAACAGGCTTGAGAGGTGGGCCAACCTCATAAAGTTTAGCAAGGACCAAGTGCAAGGTCCTGCGCCTGAGTAGGGGAAATATCAAGCACAAAGATAAGTTAAGTGGAGAATGGCATGGGAGCAGCCCTGCTGAGAAAGATTTGGTGATGGCAGCTGATGAAAGGCTCACAAAGAGCCAGCAGCATGTGCTTGCAGCCCAGAAGGCCAACCATATCCTGGGTTGCATCAAGAGAAGCATGACAAGGTCGAGGGAGGTGATTCTGCCCCTCTACCCCTCTTGTGAGATCCCACCTGGGTTACTGAGTCCAGTTCTGTAGCCCCCAAAACAAGATGGACATGGAGGTGCTGAATCGTGTCCAGAGGAGGGCCATGAAGATGATCAGACGGCTGGAGCACCTCCTGTTGGTAATTAGGTGAGAGATGAGTGTAGTAGGGCTTGTCAGACTTCAGCTCTCAGTAAAAATACATGAAAAGCAATATAAGAGTTCTTTTAAAATTTAAATGATATATTCTGTTCGTACAACAGATGTAAAAAGCAAAATGTAACTGTGGTTAAATAGAAGTTTGTGAAGCAATTAAAATGCAAATGAGTAAATTGACAAATGAGACATTTACAGCAGACAGAACTGTGAAAGAAAATGAGAAAATAAAGGATATATAGGAAAAATGATATCGAGAATATCTGACCCATGAAAGTAAACAGTAATTATATTGGGACACTTTTCCAGTAAGAACATTCTTAATTTCTCAGATTTCACTTAAGGTTCTTTTAATCATGTGTGAACTACAGTTCTATATATACTAGCACAAGATGTGAAAGGTCATATTACCTTCAATCCCACTGTTGTCTGGTTTTCTTTCTCATAAATATATATTTTCTTTGTCTAGTTTTAGTTTTGATCAGTTTTGATATTTCCCACTTACTTTAGGTAGATGGTAAATCTAGTTTTGCCAAAACCAAGAATATTTTATTTCATTTTTTTTTGTTTTTATCTATGTGTTTCTTCCCTATGAGAAAGTTTATTTACTCAGTATTACCAAGAGCTACAATCACTCATGTTTTCCTTTTTTCCTTCTTAAAGATTACAGAATATACACTTCCCAGCATGTTGAATGAGTACAGATGGCTCTTCTATTTGTAGGCAAAGAACAGTGCACTTGTAATAAATTTGACCTAGAAGAAGAAAGCAAAGGGAAACAAACAACTGTTTGCTTTGATGGTATTGTGGTAGAATATGGAAGACTTGAGTAACAGGTTTTTTTAAATGTGTGAACATAAAAGTAGTTACAGTCTCAGATCTGGTATAATATAGAAAGACAGAAGTGACATATGGAAATTGGCATTCAGCTGAAGTGAACTGCTTATATTCAATT